AAAAAGGTGCTTGCCTCAGGAACTAAGGGGGTCATTGAGACCCACTGTCCATGAAAATGTTCCTAGAGTAATTTAAAAACAAGCTATACCCCACATAAAGTTGTCGTGACCATTTCACAACACTGTCAATGTACTATGTAATGGAATCCCACCCTAACTTATTGGCCAGGTGCAGGTTTATAACACTGTCCCTATAAAACTATTTGCCCAGTGTTTTACCTAATGTTTCCACAGAATTAATGACATTAGGCAGGGCAGGCCTGTATCAACAAGTGGAAATTAATGACCCCTCAACTGATCACTTAAATGCTGCAGGAACAAAGCAGAACGTTCACACTTGAATGGAGTCAAACAGGGAAGCCTTCTTGGGGGTTCCCAGCTAGGTCATGGGAGCCAGTAGGTATTGCCTAAGCATCTGACCTGTGCTTTGCTCTGGGGTCTCTTCCAGATCTAAATCTAGGACCCTAAGAACACTTCAGCATAGCAGTAAAGGGGGTTCACAGCCCGACTCTGCCCACCTCCCTCCCCCCCACCCCCCATTTGGCTCTCTCTGTTGGAGAATGAAGAAAAAGATGACAGATCCAACAGGAATTAGCCACAGTTGCTCTTTAGTTCAAAGTAAACTAAACAACATCCTCTCTATATCTTATCTGTTCTTCCGGATCCAATTCACCTTCCCCTAAGAGGGCCCAGACAGCCTTATCTGACCACGTCAACCCACACTCTCGGACTTCTCTCTGTCCACATAATTTAGTGCTTGATCATTTCATGAAAAGATGGAAGGGAGGGAGGTACAGTGGAAAGAGCCCAAAGTCAAAGGGCCCAAGTTCAAATCCTTCCTTTGGTATTACAAACACCTTGGGTGAGTCACAACCTCTTTGGGTCTATTTCCTCAACTACAGAATGAGGCCAGCCTAGATGACCTTGGAGGTTTCTTTTTGGCTCCAGACCTCGAATCCTAGACTGTCTCCCCACCAAGACTATGAGCTCCTCCAGGAGGTCACCTGGCAGAATGCCAGGAACAGAACTGGTGCTCAGTAAAGAGCCTTTGGTCTCCACTCCCCTAGAGCCCAGCTGGAGGGAGGGGGGGAGGCACCTCGTCTAACCTCTTCATTTTGCAAAAGGAAATGAGGCAAGGCAATATCACCTCTCCAGGCCTCAAAGCCATGCGGTTAGTGGCAAGACTGAAACTATCATTCTAGTTTTCAGACTTAAAGTTCATCAACCTTTCCAGTTGGTTGCACATTCTGACTCCCAGCCTGGAGATGGTACCTCAACCACACACCGAGCCATAGGAGAGCTGCTTCCAGTATTCCTAGAGAACGGCTGGCCACTTTTCCCACCTCAACAATATACACAAAACCTTGTACTAGACATGGTGACCCTACAATGAGTGAACCTTTTCTCTCCCCAGTTCCTTCTACACTCGCCAACGACACGTGCTACATAATAACAACAAGGGTCAGAGGAATGATTAGACACAGGACTGAAAAGGCCTTACAAATCAATATGGTGACTGCCCATGGAGCATACTCTGCATTCAAACCTTTGTCTCTAGCCACATATAGATCTTAGATCCTTAAAGAATTTTGAGAAGTAAAAATGAACTGAGTCACTGTAAGGCAACATGGAGTAGCTTAGGAAGGTAAAATGCTTTGGAGACAAGCTGAATTTGTGAATGAAACAAATGAGGCCTAATCTCTTGCCTTGGTTTGAGTCAAAGGGAAGAATGTTCTGCTGATGCTAAGGGTGGCTGCCTTAGGGGAAGGAGCTCCATAGCACTTCCAACTGAGAAGCGCATGGTTACGCAGGCCTGAGAGCGCAATATCACCAACCCAAGTGAGTGCCTGATGAGGGGGAAGACTTCAGCTGTCCATCAAAGAGCAAGTCCAGGAGACCACTGGGTGGGCCTGCCCAGAAGAGCTGTGCCCCTCCGTGGTGAAATGGCCTACCTAGCACCATCCTCAGAATCCAGCCCAGGGCAGGTAGGCCTCACTATCACTGTACATCTTAGACCCTGGCGCATGCCCATGGGGTGGAAGGAATGCTTTGTAACTGGTATTCTTGCTATGCCATTGAGCAAATGCCTTTGCTAAAAAAATTACAAATCAAAACAACAACAAAAACAAATTAATATGCTAAGAGCTGAGGGAAGGCCCCCTTCCCAAGAGTATTCCATAGGCTGGCCATAAATCCTATAAGGTCCATCATTAGACATTCATTCATTTACATAGCTTAAGAGTCTATGAGTCCAGAAGGCTTATTAATAAGATACACATACCCCAGGAATAGGAAATTAATTTTGCTGTTTTTAGTTAAGTGAGTTAACCTTGCTCAGATTCCAACTCTGTACAAATAAGAGAGGGCCTGGAAAGCTGGGGTGTGGGAGGAATGCCAGTTGAGGGGAGAGTGCACGTAAAAAGGGAGATTAATGGGTACCAAAGACCAACTGAACGTCTTCAAAATTTTGCTTAGGACTGACCCTGGTCTGCAGCTCTTTCAGTCCGTCAGCCAAGGAACCCAATGAAGCCAAGGGTAGCTAACAAATCACAGCTTTCTGATGTAGGAAAGACTGATTAAGTGGCTTGGGACTACACTGTCTCCATTCTCCGTGACTGCCCAACCCACCTTCTAAGCAGGTCCAATAACTGAGCTTTAAAAGAGGGTGCAAAGTGACCAGCTGCCTAGTGACAAGATGGGGGTGGAAAACATATCAGCCGCCGAGGCCCAGGATAACTTCTGTACCAAGGGGAATGGGGATGCTCTGCTTTTCTGTGTGATATATCAGGAAGGAAGTGAGGAGATCGCACACCCTCTATTATTACCCTCTGTTAAGGATTGGTGGAAGCACAGGAGAAGGAAGTGGGGAGACCAGCAGGGCCCTGGTGGCTTCTGGCAGCTTACTAAGCAACCTCTCCCCAATTCAATCTCAGCTGTCACAGTAATCTTCCTAACGCATGACCCCAACTGTTCACTCAGTGCAACAACTCACCCATTTTTTGTCTAGAGGATAAAGTACAAACTCTCCCTGGAAATGTTTTAAGGTCCTCGGGTCCTCTACCTTCTGGCTCCAATCTTCTACTCCTCACCATGTACTCCACCTCCTAGCCATAGGGACTGAAGCCATTCCCCAATCTCATCTGAAACTCTCTCAGCCACAAAATCTTGTTCTTCTTTCGAGGCCCAGTTCAGAAGCCAACAGATTTAAAGTCTGACCATCGGGGCTCTCATACAGGCTCTACTATTTACAGCCCGTGCGGCCTCCTACAAGTCATTTAGACTCTGGCATTCAGTGTCTTCACTTCTAAAACCAGGGGATTAGACCAGACCAGCTCTAAGGTCCCTTCCATCCTAACTCCAGTCTTATGATCCTAAACACTCAGGAAGTACTTCCATACTATTAGGTCATAACCTTTCCTAGTTCAGACACTGTCATTTTTTTGTTCATTCCTGTACCCTCAACACTGAGCCCATGGGCTTGTCCATGGTAGGTCCTTGATAAATATTTGCTGAATTCGGAAGTATTAGGACATTTGCCTCCATCTGCAACTCACCCCAACTGTGGCCTATGGAGAGGAATAAATGGATTTAAAATCATTTGCTAATCTTTCCATGTGCTGGGCACAGCACCTCCTGGAGGGAAATGACCTTCCGCTGCCATGGCTCTGGAACTCATTACCTGCTAGTTTCCCTTTCTCCCCTTGTAAGAATGACTTGAATGGCTTAGCTTTCTTTTGAGGTGGCTGTGTTTTTACTTCCAAAATTAAACTAAGTGTTAATAACATCCAAAATGGCTACCTAAAACCAAGGAGTTCTTTTTTGCATATCTTTTTTTATAGAAGATCCAAAATGACATGAAATTAAACTATACAACTTTGTGAATATTAACAAACTGCTTTTAGAAAGCAAAATGAAAAAGAGCCGACAGGAACTTTGTAAGGTCAGGTTCTATGTCTCTGGAGGCAGCGTAAAGTACAGAGCTTAACAGTCAGGTGGGAAGGAGGAGCCCCTCCCTGAGGGCTGGCCTGGAAGTGGGGCTCATGGAGAAGAAGAGGAGGAGGAGAAGGAGGAGAAGGAGGAGGAGGTCTGTTTTACACTCCTTCAAGCTGAGATTGAGGACAGCTCCACTGTCGGACCCCTTGATCAAAACTGCATCTGGTCCTCTTTCATGGGCCAGGACCATGGACAGGTAGAGTGGGAGTGAGGAGAGTGGGCAGTTGGTTAAAAAACAAACCATTTAGTCTCTCCCAGTTTGCACCAAATTTCCTGGCATTCTCTTGGGGGCATGAGTAGGCCGAGCTTGATTTCTAACCAGTCAAGTCTGGACAAATGGTTTCTGAAGAGAAGCTGAGAGGCCTCCCATACCATTAAATATGGCAGGAAGCATGCATGGGGCCAGCTCTGGCCATGCAGTTATCAGGTTGGTTATCCATCTTTGCTCCACTTAAATATCCATTCCCCCTTCTTCTACTCCTCCCCATCCTCTCTTCCTTCCCCCTCCCCCCTCCCCCCAAGATTCAAAATGCCCCACAAGCAGCCAGAGTGAACCCCAGGAATCACCTCTCTGACTCAGGAAGTGTCCAGACATTGAACGAAGCATCCTTGGTTGTGTGACATCTGCAATAGGGGTTGCACCAGCTTAGACAAATAGGGCCACCCAGGTTGCTGGCTATGGAATGCTCCTTTCTTGTCACAACTCAATTGAATCATTCACATGGAGAGGAAAGAATTGGGTCAAGTGATGGAAGGACTACCTAGGGACAACGCTCACTCCTGACACCTCAACCAGACTCTCCTTTGAAAGTTTGCCCTTCCCAGTACCTACAAACCTACAAGACCAAACCTGGTCTTGACCATGAGGGCAGGGCATTGGGCAAAGCTTAGCTCCCACCCATTCAATCTGACTAGAAGCCTCCTAACATTGTTATTTAAATAAGAAAGGGACAGGAGAACTGATGCCCCAGCAAAAAAAAAACAAAAACAAAAACAAAAGTCATTGGTAACATTCTCTGCCCTTTGATTTTTCCTCATCACCTGTAGTGTCCATGTATTCTGGTCATCATACACAGTGGTCCTGCCCTGCAAAGGTTTGCCACTTTAAGAGAGCATATTATGAAGTGCTAAGCAACCCCAGGATGGAGGGAGAAGAAGCTGCCCTTAAAATAGGGAAATTGATCTTTTAACCCTCAGTAAGAGAGAGGCTGCCTCCCCCATTAGGAAAGGCTCTCAATCCTTTTCTCCCAACGCTAAGGGAGCCTTTGTCTTATTTCCTATTTCAACAAATGGTCACAAATAGTGCCCTTGTGACAACTCCTATGGACGGCCACCAGCCTCCTACAGGGCTGACCTCTGCAGCCAACTGCTCTGTTTGGTTCTTCCTTCTGGAGCTGAGGAGAGTAGAGGAGGACCCTTGCCAAGGATCCCCTGCTGCTGGGACACACCATCGACCCAGTGCCCAGGTAAAAGCAGACCTCCACCTATCAGCAAGCACCGTGGCAGTATTCTCACAGGCCACATGACTGTTCTTCATGGCCTGGTTTCATTTCTATTTAGGCAGAAAAAAATCAGGAAGGGCCTGGTGGGGTGGTCTTCCACTTTTGGGGGCTGAGGAAGAGGAAAAGACTGGTTTCTGATTTGGTGTGGCTCTGAACTTCTCTCACAGAGAGGGGGCTAACTGGCCCTCAAAGGGCCAGTGCCACTAGAAAGCTGCAAACCTGTTGCTGGGGGGAGGGGAAGCTTGTCGAGGCCACACCTGCCCAGGTCAGCTCAGGCTCAGAGCCACAGACCGAAGAGGGGCTGAGGCGCGTTCCCCTGCTGCAGTAAGGTGGTTTCACGGACACCTCATTGAAGACACGGTACAACGCAGACAGCTACAGGGAGGAAGGCCCGGCGGGCAGGCTGGCCGAGGCGCTCAGGGCAGACAGGCGGCCACCTGGTAGGCGCCTTCGGCCGTGTGCTGGGTGCTGTGCTCCTGCAGCAGCCCCAGGTCCAGGAAGCGCTCGCCACACCACACGCACTTGTACTGCTGCTCGCGGGCATGCACACTGTGGTGCTTATTGAGGTGCTCGCGCTGCTTGAAGGCCTTGTCGCAGGAGGGGCACTTGTAGGGCTTCTCGCCGGTGTGCACACGCCGGTGTCGCTGCAGGTCTGAGGCGTACTTGAAGCGCTTGTCGCAGTCGGGGCACTTGAGCGGCTTCTCGCGTGCGGGGTCGCAGCGGTGCTGCACGAACTCCGAGGAGGAGAAGAAGCGGCGCTCGCAGAGCGTGCAGCGCAGGGGCTTCTCGGCGCAGTGCGCCAGCTGGTGCTTCTGCAGGGCCGAGGCACGCTTATAGGCCTTGGCACAGACGGTGCACTTGAAGGGGCGCTCGGCGCTCTGCGCGCACTTGTGCCGCAGCAGCTCCGACGACTGGTCGAAGCCCTTCTGGCAGACGCCGCACTTGAAGATACTCTCGAGGCTGTGGACGTGCTGGTGGTAGACCAGGTGGCCGGGCTGCGCGAAGCCCTTCTCACACAGGGCGCATTTGAAAGGTTCGGGGGAGGTGCCAGGAGCCTTGTGTGTGCGCCGATGCCGCAGCAGCGCATACTGCTGCTTGAAGCTCATCTGACACAGGTCACACTGGAAGGGCCGCTCCTCGCTGTGCGTGCGCTCGTGCTGCCGCAGGTCTGAGGGCCGGCGGAAGGCCTTCTGGCACTCGCCGCAGCGGAAGGGCCGCTCGCCACTGGGCGTGCACGCGTGCTGGAGCAGCTCCGAGGACTCCCGGAAGTGCAGCTCGCAGGCCGGGCACTTGAAGAGATGCTCCCCCGAGTGTGCATACATGTGGCGCACCAGGTGCGAGCGGTGCTTGAAGGTCTTCTCGCACACGGTGCACTTGTAGGGCCGCTCGGAGCTGTGCGTGCGCTTGTGGTGCACCAGGTGGGATGACTGGCTGAAGCTTTTGTCACACAGCGTGCACTTGTAGGGCTTCTCGCCCGTGTGGATGCGCTCGTGCCGCGACAGCTCCGACAGGTGCTTGAAGGGCTTCTGGCAGATGGAGCAGCTGTACGGCTTCTCTGCGGGCTCGGGCGCCGGCACTGGCGGCGCGGGCTCCGGCGGCTTGTAGGTCTTCTCGCAAATGGAGCACTTCATCACGCTGCCGCTGTGCACGTTGTGGTGCTGCGCCAGGGAGGTGAGCAGCGAGAAGCCCATCTTGCACACGCCGCACACAAAGGGCTTCTGCTCCACCTGGATGCACTGGTGCTCCAGGAGGTCGGTGGCCTGGTGGAAGATCTTCAGGCACTGGGTGCACTGGAAGGAACGGTCGTGGCCGGGCAGGCACTGGTGCTCGTGGGGGCTGGAGAGGTGGGTCAGGTCATGGCCACACACCCCACATTTGTGGGGTGGCTCCGCGGGGGCCTGCAAGGGGGGGTGCTGGTGGTGCTGTAAGTTGGAGTCCGGCTGCAGGAGGATGCCATAGACAGCACAGCCCAGGGGGTTCTCGGCTGCGCTTGGGGGAATGGAGTGTTCCGCCAGGGCAGGGGGAGGCTCGGCATGGTGCTGCGGCTGCTGCTGCTGCGGGGGAGCCGGTGGGGGAGGCTGCTGCTGCCAGCTTTCTGACATGCTTGGGAAGAAGAAACAGGGTTTGGACAGTAATGGTTTCAGCTTCCCGCTTGAGGTAACAAAACACACAGAAAGAGTTGCCCACGTGTAGTCAGGGGCAGAAGCCTCAGCCCGGAGCTAAATCTCTAGGACATCAGAGGCACAGCGAAGGCTAATTCTCAAGTCACTGACCAAAGGGACACAAAAGCACTGGACAGCGACCCGTAGTTGACTGGCAAAGATTCTCTGATCAGCTGTGTGCCGGGCAGAGTAAGCAGGGAGAGCTTGGCTCCTCGGATGAAGAGTTCTGTAGGGAAGAGAGAAAGAATACACAGTCAAATGACAAGAACTGAGAAAAATCAGAGTATCTACCTCCATCCATGTGATTAAATGAAAAAAAAGGCTACCTAAAGATCACAACTGGTAGGCAATACTAGGACGAAACTCACATCAAGGAGTACGGAGAAGCTTTGGACTAAGTGAGATCCAAAGGAGTTCACCGGGCTGGACAGCACCACCCTGACATATGCCCTCATTTCACCATCCTCCGGCCAGAGCACACTGGCCTCGCTTCCTCTGCACCCCACACAGATTACTTTCACACTTCCCTCCTGCCCTCTGAAGTCAGCTGTTTTACAAATGAAAGTCTGGGCTGATTTGGCTACAAGTCACAAGTCCTTGTCTCTTCTCCCTCTTCTCATTCTCTACTGGGGGAGACGTAAAGACTCTGGAGAATATTGGGGCCTGTTAGGATCTGAGGAACAACAGTCTTTTCGCTCCATCTCCTAAAGATCTGGGGTCCAACTTGTCTTTGCTAGAATAATAGTTAAGATCTAAACTACAGGACAAAGAAGGGCCTTCTAAGCCGGCATGCCGGCCCGACATGTCACCCCAGACGTCGGCTCTGTCAACCAAGAGCCTGGACCTTGACTTCACACACTGTCTCTCCGGTGTGAGTGAACTGGCTGAACTGAGTTGAAATCCATAGGGTGATGCCCTCTTTTAAATGAACACGTCTGAAATGCTGATCAGTAAAACTTGCTCCACTTACAAGGTGAGGCTGCCTGGCCTTCTACGGTGTGGACTTCATTGTACAGGGGAGACTCGCTAATCTTTATGGTCCCATTCAGCTCTGATCCAACGACCAAGGCTCTAAGTAAATCCAACGCCACAATCCTGTTTTCTGTAGAAAATGTCCTAGCCTTTCTTATTAACCCAAGACTGATAACAAACTAGAGTGGCTTCTGGCTTGGGGTGCCTCACTTTGGTGTAATAAAGAAGCCAAGAGGGGCAGCTAGGTGGCACAGTGGACAAAGCTCTAGCCTTGGAGTCAGGAGGACCCGAGTTCAAATCCAACCTCAGACACATAACACTCACTAGCTGTGTGACCCTGGGCAAGTCACTTAACCCCAATTGCCTCACCAAAAAAGCAAAAATAAATAAATAAATAAATATAAAGAAGCCAACAGTCTATTAATTTGCCTCTTCAGCACAGGAAGGAAAATACAACCAACAGCAAAGAAGGATAACCTTCCCCAGAAAGAGGTCCCCGATCCTAACATTAAATCTATATGACTTGATGCAGTCTCCAAAAAGAGACAGGGAAATATCAAGTGAAGAGTAATGGTTAACTCACCCCTTTGTGGCAGTCTAAGGTAACAACATATAAGAGGAAATTTCAAACAGGGAGAACATCACACAATAAGATGTAAACATTCTCCAATTTCAGGTTTTCTATGGCTTCTATAGTAACATATTATCCATTTTATAGTCCTGGGGTTTTTCCTTCAAAGCCAGTTTGATCTCCTAAAATGGGGTTATGGGACCTGGACCCCCAAAAGCCCATGAACTTTCCTACACTGGTATTTCACATGAGGCATCTGGTCCATCCCAGTCTACCCAGATACTCAATAATCCTTTTAACTGCCCTTTCACTGTGACTCTCGACCACTTAACTCCTTTCACCATCTGCATCTGACCCACCCCAGGCTACCTGCACTCCTTAATCCCATCCAGATCTTCTCACAGTCTTTTCCTGCATATAAGTATCAATCTTACCCCCATTAAGCTGCAGACTCACTAGGAACTCTGCCCACTCCTATTGGCAATATAATACTGCAGATTTACTAGGAATCTTGCTTGCCAAACTGGTGTTAAAATAAATCTCGCTACTTTGACTGAAAGAAGGCTTGAATGGTCAAATTCTTTCAAGGCAGACCCCCTGTACCCTTCCATTTTGGGGTTACCAGCACTCCAAACTGCAACATTCCCACTCAACTCTGAAGGAAAAACACAACACCCAGACTTCATTCTCATCTACCTAATACCTGTGGGTAGTGGTGGGGACAAGAGAAATCGACAACTGAACACAACCTGGCCTGGCTTTGAGGCTGGGGAATGGGGAGGGAAGAGTAAAGGCCAGACGACCACCCACTCTAAATTCCAAAAACTTCCCTGGAAAGAGGAGAATTAGACCAAGAGATCTGCTCCAACACAAACATTCTCCTCTATTCAACATCTTGGTTTTTCAGTCTGTCATAACCTTGAGGTTACACATACCTTTTTTTCCCCATTTAATAAACACACCAGTTCAGAATTTAACTCTGGGAAAGCCTGTGGCTAACTGTGGATGCCTCTAAGACGCTGGACAAACTTCTATTTGAGGCATTCTGAAAAGGTACAACCCAACCTCACACACCCACCTCCTCCAGAATCCTTTTCTCTTTCCCTTTGAATCCCAGTGAAAGCTGATCCTCAGCTCCCCAGCCCCCACACCCTGCCCTGCCCAGCTGAGCTGCCATTCGGACAGAATTGAAAACAGGGGACAAGGAATTCAATAAATACAGACAACCACTCCAGAGAAAGCTTGGAAGAAAGTGGTAGGGTTTTTTGTTTTTTAAAGGAGGAAGCAAAGCCTTAGCACTGCCCCATTCACTCTGAGCCACCCCCACCCCCAAATTATTTGTCACAATAACCAGTAGGAAAACAGGGCCTCCTCTCCCCCTGGATACCAGCCTCGGGTTTTCCCTGGCTATCTCCTTGGAGGGGGAACCAGACCAGATAACAAACCACAGCAGAACCTCCTACCAGTTTATTCCAGGGAAATGCTAGCTTGGCTCTGCTGCCTTTCCTCAGGACAGTTTCCTTTCTGGCCCTGGGCAGGCAGGAAGTTCTAAAGAGGCAGGAACTGAGCTTGGGAAGGGGCATAGGCAGGGGATTATGGGGGGAAGTCAGAGGACTCTGGAAAAATGAGGAGGGGGAAAGAGGAGATTAGGTTTGGAGTGATATTAGGAAAAGGGGATGTCTAAAGATGGGGTCAAGAGATAAAAAGGATTACAGGAGATGTGAGTCAGATGAGTGAGGAAGGGGATGGGGAGAGATGCGATGTGGAGGGGGAGAGATAGATGAAGGTTATGGGGAGTGAGATGAGGAAGGGGGTGGGGAGAGATGATGGGGAGATAGAGGAGGGGGCTGGGGACTTATGGGACAGGAGATGGGGAGACAGAGAACTGATAGAGTCTCTCTGGGGGCTGGGGTCTCACTAGAGGCTGGGGTTTCTCTGGGGGGATGCGATCTAAGTCTCTCTGGAGACCAGGGTCTCTCCTGGGGCTACCGTCTCGGTCTCTCTCTCTCTCTCCCTCTCTTTCTGAGGGGACAGGGTCTCTCCTGTGTCCCAGGTCTCCCCTGGGGTAGGGGTCTCTCCGTCTAGGGGGAGAGGCAGGATCTTTCCTGGGGCTAGGGTCTCCCAGGGCCTCTGTCTGGGGTCCCAGGTGTCTCCTGGGATAGGAGTCTCTCAGTCTGGGAGGGGCAGGATCTTTCCTGGGCCAGGGTCTCTCTCTCTCTCTGGGGGTCCCAAGTCTCTCCTGGGGCCGGGGTCTCTCAGTCTGAGGGGGCAGGATCTTTCTTAGGGCCAGGGTCTCTCTATCTCTCTGGAGGTTCCGAGTCTCTCCTGAGATCGGGGTCTCTCTGTCTGGGGGAGCGGGGTCTCTCTGTCTGGGGGAGCGGGGTCTCTCTGTCTGGGGGAGCAGGGTCTCTCCCCAGATCCCCAGTGTCTCCTGAGATAGGGGTCTCTCTGTCTGGGGGGCAGGGTCTCTCCCCGGGTACCGGGTGTCTCCTGGGGCCGGGGTCTCTGTCTCTCCCTCCCCGGGGCCAGGTCCTCCCCGGGGAGGGGGCGCTGGGCCCCGGACTCCCCCCTCGGGCTCACCTGGGGCCTGCCGGGGGTTCTGGGGTCGCTTTCCCCTTCCGCTCCCTCCCTCGCCGCCCCCGTGCTGCGGCTCCTCCCCCTCCTCGTCCTCGTCCTCCTCCGCTGCCGGGTCAGAGCCAGGGCTGGGCCGGGGCAGGCCGGGGTCGGGGGCGCGGCCTGCGGGTCCCTCCCGATCCCCGGCCTCGCGTAGCGGTAGCGGCGGCGGCGGCGGCGGCGGCGGGTCCCGGGCGGGGCCTGGGGGTCCGGCTGGCTCCAGGCCGGGGAGGGGGGGGGCGGCGTCGGCGGGAGCGGGGGCGGGGGCGGAGGCGGAGGGCGAGGGCGAGCGTGCGAGGCGAGCGTGAGTGTGAGTGAGTGTGCAAGCCAGGGTGAGTGACGGGCGCGGGGCCGGCCGGGGCCGGGAGGCGGGGCCGCGGGAGGAGGAGCGGGACGCGAGGGGCCCAGGAGGCGAGGCCGCCCCCTGCCGGGCACCCGGCGGCGACGCAGGCCGCGAGGAGGGGGCGGGGCGACGGCCGGGGCCGCCCAGGCCCCGCCCCCTCCGCGGAGCCCACTCCTGGGGAGGGAGGGAAAGCTTCTCTCCGCCCCCTCCGCGGGCACGTGGCTCCAGCTGGTGTCGACCCAGTCAGGGGCTTCCCAGCCACCCTCTCATCCAAGGAAAACACTTTTGCATGGATGCATTTGCTCTGGACGGGTCAGTTACTGACCCACCCACGGCTCCAAGGTACTTTCCAATAAAAGGCTCTGCAAAAGTACCTAAATCTCGTTGTCGTCGTCCCCGATCACAAGGAACTCTCCACTTTGGGTGCTAATTTCTATTTTTGCACTTTATGTTTGTGAACAGAAAGGACTTGTGTTTGACCTCCGGTCATTCGGAAATAGCACTGTCCTTTGTATTTTGGGGATCGTAGATTTACGGCAGAAAGGGTCTCAGAAGCCCCTCGTTTAGAGAAGAGGAAGCTGACTCAGGACCGTGGGATCCTAGAGCTGGAAGGTACTGCCTTGGAGACCACCTGGTCAGCCCCTTCCTCATTTACAGATAAGGAAGCTAGCGTTAAGGGAGTGGCAAAGCTGGGCGGAATTGGAGCTCAGGTCTTTGAACTCCAAATCAAGCTGGATTTCTGCTATGACACTTTGTTGCCTCTCTTATGGTCTTTTTTTTTAAACATTGTTGCAGTTAATTGTGTAGATTGCACTTTGAGTTTGGCTTTCTTTGATCTATATCAATTACCGCGTATTAGAGGCAGTTAGGTAGCACAGTAGATAGTAAGTCTCTTAACTTTTGTCTGCCTTAGTTTCCCCACCTATAAAATGAGAATGATAATTATAGCACCTACGTCCCAGGGTTGTGAGGATAGAATGAGATGGTATTTGTAGAGTGCTTTCCAAACTTTAAAGCACTATATAAATGCTAGCTATTATTATTCCCATGATTTTCTGAATTCAAAAATGGATAGAGTCAATGTTGGAGCAGTAGTGGAAAGATGTGGAAATATTAATGAAGCTATGAATAATTAGCACAACCACTCTGGAATATGTAAAGAAAGCAACTAGAATATTTATGTTCTTTAACTCAGATATCCCATTGCTAGGCACATTTTCTAAGGAAGTCAGTGACAAAAAGACAAGCCCTATAAGCTCTCAAAAATATTTATAGCAATGCTTTTTTGTGTTAGCAAAGAACTAGAAACTAGAGAACAGCTCAACAAGTTATGGTACATAAATGTAATGGAATATTACTGTGCTATGGGAAGCATGAGAAGATTCACATGGGCAGATACAAAATAAAGTAGGAACAAAGCTAATAAGGTCAAAGGAAATGAACAGGCAGTTTTGAGATGAAGAAATTAAAGCCATCTACAGTCATGTGAAAAAATGCTCTAAATCACTATTGATTAGAGAAATGCAAATTAAAACAACTCTGAGTTACCACCTTACACCTATCTGATTGGCTAATATAACAGAAAGGGGAAATGATAAATGTTGGAGAAGATGAGAAAACTGGAACACTAATGCATTGTTGGTGGAGTTGTGAACTGATCTAACCATTCTGGAAAGCAATTTGGAACTATGCCCAAAGGGCCATACAACTGTGCATACCCTTTGATGCAGCAATACCACTACTAGGTCTATATCCCAAAGAGATCATAAAAAAAATGGAAAAGAACAAGGATAATAACTTATACAAGGATTGTACAACATATATGGAAACAGCAACAAGACGGTAGAAAATTCAAGGTGCAAAATTATAATGGTGCGAAGTTTGGTCCCATGAAGAGACATTAGAAGATACTTTCCCATTTCTTTGCAGAAGTGGTACATCATGGATGTGGAATGTTATGTATAACAGATTTTTTTGACATACTGATTTGTTCATGGACTTTTTTTCCCTTCCTCTTTTTTTTTGAAACACTAGAAGGAGCAGGCATGCCAACTGATGCAAAAATTAGTATAATTTTACTTTGATATAAAATTTTTCATCCTGCAATTTCTATTTTCTTTGCCTTGTGGATAAAAAAAATGCACTGCATCAATGGACGCAGCTTGGTCCCTCAAAGTATTCTTAAATTCCTGTACTTTTGGTGGTAAATTCTTCATTAGAAAAGATGTCTCTCTGGAATCAGAGGATACAGTGGGAAAAGTACTTGATATAAAAACAAAAGCTATTAATAATAGCTTTATCTTGGCTAAAGCTTTTATCAATTTATCTTTGAAAGCCATCTCCTGGCGTGTCTCTTACCTATGAGTTGTTTTCAAAACTCCCATGCTTATATATTCCAAGCAAAAGTTATTACCCAGAGGGGCAGCTAGGTGGCACAGTGGATAGAGCTCCAGCCTTGGACTCAGGAGGACCTGAGTTCAAATCCAACCTCAGACACTTAATACTTACTAGCTGTGTGACCTGGGCAAATCACTTAACCCCAATCCAGCTGTAAGACCTAGCACCAGATGAATGAATTCAATTTAACAGTCCCCGAGGGTCATTTTTTACCTCATGGAGGTCAAGAGAAAGGTTAGGGCTGGATGGATCTGAGTATACTCTGCATAAAAATGATCACTGAATTTTTGGGAGCTGATGAGATTGCCAGATGGAGTGCATTGGGAGAAGTGGATTGGACAGAGCCTTGGGGGACTTTCATAGTTATTGGGCACAACCTGGATGAAAGTCCAACAAAAGAGACTGACAAGGAACAATCAGACAAGTAGAAGAAGCAGGAGAGCTATTTCATGAAAACCTAGAGAGTAAGAGAGTAACAAAGAGAGAGTTCAAGAAGGATGAGGATTGAGAAAAGAACATTAGAGGGGCAGCTAGGTGGCGCAGTGGATAGAGCACCAGCCCTGAAGTCAGGAGGACCTGAGTTCAAATGTGACCTCAGACCAAACACTTGACACTTACTAGCTGTGTGACCCTGGGCAAGTCACTTAACCCCAATTGCCTTAAAATTAAAAAAAGAAATAAAAAAAAGAAAAGGATATTAGATCTGGCAGTTACTTTGTTACTATGTGTTACATGTTACTTTGTGTTACATGTGTTACTTTGGAGAGAGCATTTAAGGTGAATGATGATGTCAGAAACTGGATTGTAGAGAGTTATAAGAGTGAGAGGAAAGAAATTGGAAGCAATGGTGTGAGGCTTGCTCAAGCTAGGAGAAATACAGGACCTTTGCTATTGGACTAGACTGACAGGATCATGGGAATTTGAAAAGGACTAAATTGAAGCTTGATGTAAAGAACATCCTAAGGATCAGTGCTCCCCAGGAGAATGTGCTGCTTCACTTGGGGGCATTCACCCCCCTCACTGGAGTCTTTGGACAGAGGCTAAACGAAGACTTGTCTGGTACATTATAGAGAGGATTCTTTTGGGGTATGGGTTGGAGATATTCTGTGATTCTGACCTCAGAGATTATTTCACAGATGAGAAAACTGAGATTCAAAGACGTGAAACGATTTGTCTACGGTCACACGGATGGTCAGTGATCCAGCCAAGATGTGAACCCACGTCCAAATCTCAAGCTCTTTCTGATTGGATGTTGGAGGTGAACATGAGGGAAGAGAGAAGGGTGATGTTGACAGAAATAGTCAAGTCAGAAAGAGGGGCCAATCCAAATCAAACAACAGGCATTTACTGGGCACCTATTATGTCCCAAGCACTGAACTCTGCTGGAGGTACAAAGACAAAAACTGAAACAGTTCCTGCTCTCCCTGCCCAAAAAACCCAGGAATTTTTATACTATTGGGGGAGGAGTACACAAAAGTTGATATTATTTTTTTTGACCACATCATCAGTATAGGGAACTTCCTCTGTCAATGCAGATTGTTACCTGCTGTGCAACTAATAGAAACTATGAGCTCTTGAGGAATCACTACCCAAGTCCCCCCAAACACAGATGCCCTCTCTCCCCAACAACCTTGTATAATCTGGTATTTATTCACCTGCTATTTCTGCTGTATACTTGTTTTTATATCTACCTGCCTCCCTGCCCCCCCCATTAGAATGCAAACTCCTTGAGATTAGGGATTGTTTCCTTCTTTGTATTTGTAACCCAGTGCCTAGTGGAGAGGGAAATTAGTATTTATTAAAAGCTTGCTATATGCTTTGTGCTACATACTACAGGCACTGTGCTAAGCACTTTATACATATTATCTTATTTGATTCTCACAATACTCCTGCAAGGTAGGTGTCATTATTCTCATTTTTATAACTGAGGAAACTGAGGCAAGCAGAAGTCAAGTGACTTGCCTAGGGTCACTGCTAGTAAATGTCTGAGGCAGAATTTGAACTCAGGTCTTCCTGACTCTGGCCCAGTGCTTTCATTCCACTGGGCCACCTAGCTGCCTCTAAGCATCTACGATGTAAAGGCTTAAAATGCTTGTTGATTGGGTATTTGTCTGAGGTACTGAGAAGTTGTGACTTGACCGCGGTCACAGAGCTGGTATGTGTCAGGTGCAGGCTTGAACCCAGGACTTCCTGATTCAAAAGCTCCTTCTCCCCTGCTATACCTCTGGATATCCCCAGTAAAGTGGGGAGGGGCACAGATGGGGGGAAAAAGAGAAAGAAGAGCAAAGGTAAGGAAAAGATATAGGATGGGGAGGGAAGAGGGGGACAGAAAGGAAAGGGGGGAGAATGGGGGGGAGATGAGGCAGGAAGGAAAGAGGGGGTAAGGAAGGAGAGAAGGAAGAAGAGAGAAAGAAGAGGCGAGAAGAGACAGAAGGGGAAGAGAAGGAAGGGGAGGAAAAAAGAAGAGGGAGAAGAGGAAGGGGGAGTAGAGGGAGAGGAGACAAGAAATAGGAGGAGAGAAGGAAAGGGGAAGAGAAGAGAAGAAGGGGGAGGAGAGAAGGGAGGGGAGGAGCGAAGGAAGGGGGAGGGCAGGAGGAGGAGATAACGGCTAGAGATAACGGTTTGATCTCCCTCGAAAGTGTGTGAAGGGGAGGGGCGGGGCGGACTCTTGGAGGCGGAACTTCCGGGGGCGGGCCCAGGTTTCCGGGGGGAAGGGAATAAGCGCAGCACCCGTCGTGGCCGGGAGCAGGAAGGGCCCATGAGCGCCGCACTCCTGGTGGGCTACAGCAGCAGCAGCAACAGCGGCTCCGAAGGCGAAGATGGGTCCGGGCCCGGGCCCGAGCCCGGTGCAGAGCCCAAGGAGGGCGGCAGCCGCGGGTGAGGAACCGCCTGAGCAGGCGCTGAGAGGAAGCCGTTTTTCCGGCCGGGAAGGGAGAAACAAACGAGGGTCCCGCCCCCGGAACCGGATGTGGCTTTCTGGCGTGAGCGTGGGAGCAGGGAGTTGGCGCAGGCGCGCAGAGGAAAGGACAGCTTCTTCCCTGCACCTTGGCGGTTCTGCCTTTCCCACCCTCCTGGGGAGGGAGCCACCGAGGCTGGATCCTGAGTCCGCTGCGGGGGCGGGGAAGCTTTCCTCCTCTTCTGGGTATCTCCCCATCCTTTAAAGACAAACCCAAATGTCGGTTCCTCCATGATGCCCTCCCCTATTCCCCTCCAGCCAGAAGCCCCCTTTTGCCCCTCCCTCGTAACATGGATCATTTAATTTTGTGCATTAAAATGACATGCATTTGAGCCTCATTCCCCAACTAAACAGTAAGTTCCATGAGGGCAGGGACCTCGTGTTGTCTAAACTCCGCATCTTCCCAGCACAGACGGGATGAATGAATACATGCATGAATGAATGAATGAATGCATGTCTCAGCACTGATGCAGAACTAGAAAGGATCCCAGGGGCCCCCTGATGAGGAAACTGAAGCTGAGAGGGGTCACAGCACTTGCCCAGTGTCACCCAGCTATTCACTCACTATTGGGTGAGATTTGAACCCAAGTCTTCCCAACTCTGGGAAGAGTCAGCATTCTGTTGGATCTGACTCAGCGCCTGTGGAAGAGATAGGGGGAATGGGGCGTTTTAGGGTTGGTTTAATCGAGGAGTCAGTCCTAGGAAGAGCAGTTGTCTTTGAGGCCACCCTGACAAACACCGCAGGGGAGAGAGGGCTCTCAGGTCCTTGTAAAGGGGCCAGTTGGGCAGAATGGGGCTTGTGTACCTTTTGGTACCAGAGATGGACAGCTCTGGAGAGGAAGGGGCCCAACACCCCAGGGCTGACCCAAGCTCAGAGACTGAATACAAATTACCCAAACCAAATCATCCACATCTCTTGGACTTCAAGTTTGGGTAGCAAAATGGAGTATGAGTTCCTTAAGCAACCACACGGAATATTCACATGCCCAGTATTGCCATGAGCAGTAGAAACCTTGCCCTTTGCCCAGCCTCAGACATCCTAGGTGTTTAAAGCACAGCATCCTTCATCCCTCAGTACTTTTCTCTGGCCTGACTCCTTATCCCCAACATTGACAGTTGAGCAAATTCCCAGAAAGGAAAGTAACCTTATCATGTGGACAGAATTATAGGGCATCAATCACAGGTAAAGATCAAAGTGTATACTACATCTCTTTACTCCTGCAGACGTCATCGTCCTCCATCTCCTCCTCCTCCCCCTCGGCTGCCCATTCCAGACAGCGTCCTCAACATGTTCCCAGATCCAGAAGATGGGATTGTGGATGACACTGAAAAACATGGTGGCAGAATACGAAGCTTCCCCCATGAAAGGGGCATTTGGGCCACCCACGTCTGGGTGCCCTGTAAGTGACAGCAGATCTCGCCAGCTTGGGAGAGGGTCAGAGATACTGGGAGGAGCCTTTTCAGTGTTTGCTGAGCAAGGCAAGCCAGGGTGTTGCAAATAATCACAAATAATTGTGAGATTTCCCCAACATCTGGTCTAGGCTCTGACTTGATGCACAGAAGTCATCTTTGCAGGCCTCCCTGAGTACGTTTTCCAGCTTCACAGGCAGGCCATCCAGTGGGACCTCAAAGGCTGTCTGAGAGCTGGTGTGGGATGGTGTGACAGGTTCACCTTTGGTCTGCACTGCCTGGCTGGCTCACATCTGTCACTTCCTTTTAGAGAGGATGTCTTTTCATCAGTCTTCAGTGACATCCTGTACTTGATATCCTTTGAGTTAAATAAACATGGTTTGCCCTCTCAGTGACTTCTTTCTGAAAAGGGAGAGGAGAAGTAATCTTTCACTCCTAGGGTTGTGTTCGTTTGTTCAGTGAGGGTCCCATGCTCAGAAAGCAGCTCTCTTTGTTTCCTTCCCCTCCAGATGAAGCAAAGGAAGATTTTTTTGACCTGCTTGACCTTCTCATGACCCAGGCCCGGAGGGTCCTGCCCAGGCTGGTAAAGATGGAGGAGTTCCACGTCAGTCTGTCACAGAGTGTGGTCCTGCGATACCACTGGATCACCCCCTTTGTGCAGTCCCTGAAGAGCCGTGTGGCCTCCTTCCACAGGTGCGCTTCCTCCCTTACGCCTCCATCTTCTCTCCTCTCTGGCCTCCAGAGCCATCTTTCTGTTTTATGCTGGGCCTGCAGTCCTGGGAGCAAAAAGAACAAGGACTTTTCAACCCCCTTTGGCTACGTGTCAGTCCTCTTGTTCTCCAGAGCCAAAAGATGTAGACAGAACTTAACATTTTATGGGAACCCACAGGGCTTGATGGAACTATGTTGGCAGGTGACAGAAAGGTGGGCAGAAATTGCCTTTATCACCTCAGTGCCCACCCCCCTCCGCCCCCCGCCACACTCACATACACTCACCCTGCAGACCTGTTGGCAAAATCCCAGTGATTGTGTTCTGATTGGGATCTAAAGGCTCGAGAAGCCTTCAAAACACTAAAGAATGAATCTCTAATAAGCGTGTGGGGGGTGTGTTTGTGTATTAAAATTTAGACAAGGAAAAGGCAATGGCACTTGAGATAAGTTAGAAGTCAGATCAGAGTGCAAGGGATTATCCCAAAGGTGATGAGGATGGCTTCATTTGTGAGTTGTTCGAAAACAAGGGTGAGAACTTTAGGTTCTGTGACAGGCTGAGGTCAGTAGATTTGGGGGGGTTTGAGGAGTGTTCCTGGCACACCCCAACATTGTTGCATGTGAGCTTCCACCTGCTCATAAGCAGAGCCCTGTATGTTGACAAGAGTGGAGGAGGAAGAGGCCTAGGAAACAGTCCTTCTTTATCTGCCTTCTCTCCCCTCAGCCTGGTCCCCCAGCATGCAGTTGGAGGCCTGGATGAGGATCCCAAGATCTCACTGGACTCGATGAATGGGTTATAGGAACAGTAAATGGTTATTGAGTCAGTGAGCGTATGAGGCGTCCTCCCCACTGGGCCAGGTTTCCCAAGACTCAAAGCCTGGTTAGTCATGAGAGGCAAGACTCCAGACTGTCCCTCCCACATTTGGCGCTTTGTACGTCCTACTTTATTTGACTCTCTCCTGTTTCTGTGTGACTGGTAGTGGACGAGCTGGTAATCCCTGTGGGGTAATCCCCTGTTTTCTGATCTCCAGCTGCTAATTCCTCCTGACCCTGAGGTTCCTTTGCTGATCCTGACTTTTCTTGGTCTGTATTGGTAATATGTACTCATGCCTAGAAACACATATGTGTGCTTGTGCGTGTGTGTGTGTGTAAAGATACAACCACATAATTTCATATAATTTTTTGTACAAGTTAAGACAGATCTGTCTTCCTTTATCTCCTTGATAATCCTTTATCCAAACTAAATCTTCATTATCTATTTCTGTTAACCTCCAAGGAACAAATTCTTCTTTTATCAATATTATTATCTGCTGATGGTCGATGAGACATCTTCTCCTCCCATGGATCCAGTCATAAAATCCAGCTTTTTGCAGTTTATTGAAATCTAATTACAGAATTGGGAGGCGGTTCTCACACCATCCTGTTTCTAGGGGTCAGAACAGATAGAAGTGATGCCAGCAGGATTGAGTCCTTCCTGCCCAAAGATAAGCCTCCCGATGAAGTGTCTTTCTGGGCCGTATGTGACTCTGTGTGTAGAGCAGGGCTGGGGATCCTAAGCCGAGCCATGGAGGGAGGAAGTCAGGCGACTGCCTTCCGAGTGACTCCATGATGCTCTGTGTCATTATGCAATACTAGAGTCATTTTCCTGCTTGCTTCTTCCTGTTCTGAGAAAGTGACTTTTTTCTTTTTCTCTCTTGAATTTCAGGTTCTTGTTCACAGCCAACCAGGTGAAGGTTTACACAAATCAAGAGAAGACGAGGTGTGTGTATAGGGGTGTGTGTGTGTGTGTGTGTGTGTGTGTGTGTGTTGATGCAAGCACCACACCAGGACTGCTCTGGAAAAGACGTGGAACGGGACATGCTGTGTCAGGCCCCTCTTTCTGAATGTTTGGATCAGTTGTCGATCCTGAAGCTTTAAAAAAAGAAGCCAGCGGCTTAGCAGAGAGCACCTTGGACCAGCATGAGACCATGGGGATGTCCCAAGACTGGAAGGGGAAAGAGCTGGCCTCCGGCCTCATTCTCCCAGTAACTGGGCATTCTTGGATGCTGTCTGGTGGGGCATGGGATGACATCCACCCTCACGACTTCCCAAGGTGGTTGTGTTTCTGATACTTGGGAAAAGTTGAAGGTGCTAAGGAACTGTGGTAGATTAGTTACCTAGGCTTTAAATTGAGCTGCCCACCCCTCTGGGAGCCACAAGCAGAAATAGTCCGTTCTGTAAGAGCAGGGACTGGATTTTTGTTGGTGGGGAGGATGGCGGGGTTCCGTTCTTTGTATTCCCAGCCCTTAGTATATTGCCTGGTGCTAGTAGGCGCTTAACAAATTGTCTGACTGGGCCATTCATCCACCAGTTGAGGCCAGGCCTTCCCTCTTCTGTGGGCCTCTGGAGTCTCCGGGGCTCCCTCTGGGCCCAGCAGCCTCCCTGTCCAGGCCTAGCCCCACCCCAGGCTCACTGCTGTCTGGATGCTGACCTCATGCTCTCCACCCCTTTTGTCTGCCCAGGACCTTCATTGGGTTAGAGGTCACTGCAGGGCATGCTCAGTTCCTAGACTTGGTCTCAGAGGTGGACAGAGTGATGGAGGAATTCGACCTGGCAACTTTCTACAAGGTGAGATGCTTCTTGTTCCCCTTTGACCATAATATCTAAAAGTAGGTCCCTGTAAACTAGGTGGAATTTAGAAAGGGGAAGTGGGTAGTCCATCTGGACGTCCAGCCCATGTGTTCTGTGCAAAGGGTGTCAGACAAACCCTCTAGAGTCACTTGGGATGAATTTGACTGGGTGATCTTCTGCACCCTCTGGGCAGCGTTAGGGGATGGTGTGGATTAGAGGAGATGTGGGGAGCTTTGGGCCTCAAGGCTGCACGTGGAAAGGGCCGCACTTGAGGACCTAGAGGGCCACATGTGGCCTCGGGGCCACAGGTTCCCCACCCCTGGATCAGAGTATAGCACTGGGCTCCATGGGAAGTGAAGCTCCTGGGACCCGGCCCTCACCCAGAGCAGGGACAAGCCCTTGTGGACCCTGGACAGAGTCTAGACCTGGGCCATGAGGGACTGCCCACTAGAGGCTCTGAGTCTTCACTGTAGAAAAACAAAAGGCCAGCCGTGCCAGAGTTCTTGAAGGGCCCCAGGGTCCCCCAGCACAGCTCTCTTTCCACTCCCGGCTGGGGGGCTGGCCTTGCCCCAACCCTTCCCGGTCTTAGTCGATGGCTGAGGGAGAAGCATGGGCCACACTGCAGGCCCTGGGGTCCTGAGCCTCCTTAGACTTTGACGAGCCATGTTTGGAAGCCCCTCGTGGGGCACGGGGAACTGTACCTGCCTCGATGAGGCTTCCTTGTCCCAGGAGTCACAGTGAGTACCGTTGGACTGGGAGTCAGGAAGACTTGAATTCAAATCTCCAAGTCACTTACCCTACTGGACTCAGTTCCCACATCTGTAAAATGGGAACAATAATAGTAGCACCTTCCTGGAAGGATTGTTGTGAAGATAAATCAGATAAAATTCGGAAAGCGCTTTGCAAACTTTCAGGTGCCCTTGTAAAAGTTAGGTGGTGTTGTTCCTTTGTAAGTCTGTCAGCATAACCCCTGGAATGTGGAATGTGACTAGCTTTATCACAATATGTGCAGGTTAAAGTAGTGAACAGTAGAATTTTCTATTGGAAAAAATATACATTAAAAACACAAAACCATTTGAAAGGTCTTGGTTGTGTGTTCCTGTTTCCCCGGTGTGTTGGGCCCTCGCTGGCAGACAGCTCGCCTACCAAGGCCCAGCTCTGTCCTTTCCCTGATGTTAACAAGCCAAACAGGAAAACGATCCTCTCTCTGGGGCATCATCCCTGCATTAGGAATCCAGGATGCCAGGCCCTCCTTGTGGTATAGGGCTCTCCCCACATGGACACAGTGATGGGCCAGCATTTGCCACTCTGCTTTCTGCCTGAGCATGTCCTTGCCCCTCTCTCCTAGGAGCCTTCCTTCCACATCAGCCTGGCCTGGTGTGTTGGAGATGTGCAATCTGAGCTAAAGGAGCAGGCAATCCAGCAGCTGCAGGTATGAACCTTGGCTCGGGAGTCCTTCCTGGGCAGGGGGATGGGAGTGGCTGGGTTTTTCTGGCCTAAGTAAAAGGACTGATCCCGAAGGGTTGGCCATCGAGAGCCTCCAGACACCCTCAGTGGCTGAGGCAGGAGGGGCGTCCTCACTTCTGGGGCTCTTGGCCACAGGCTTCACCCCTGGTGGGCTGTGGTCAGGGACCTTTTTGTTTGCTGTGACCTGTTTTAGGAAATCGTGGACAGCTTTGAAGACTCTGCTCCACTGCTCCGTGTGCAGGCTGAACAGGTCCGCTGCAAGTCTGGGAATAAATTCTTCTCTTTCCTGTTAAAATGAGAGTGAGCGAGCGAGGGACGGGCCCTTGGTCCAGCAGCCTCCTGCCTGCGGCTGGCCAGGGGACAGGCCTTCGTCTGTTGGAGGATGAGGGAATTCTGGGACAGTCGTGCCCCTGGCTGTGTGGTTCCCAGCCCATTCCAAGCAGGGTGCACCTGTCCACCGAACACCATGCGTGCCTAGCCAGAGAGCCCCAGTTACGGCGGTCTGAGGCACTGTCTGCCCAGGTCCTGGGTTTTTGGGTGCAGGGCGGCCATTTCCACGAGCTAACCAGCAGAGGGCGGGGCAGACTAATTCCTGCCCTGGGCCTCCAGTCCCAGGGCAGGAATCTTTGGGGTCACTTAGTGAGCCCTTCACTTTCAGCTGCTTCATTCCCTTCAGCTGCTTGCGTTTTTGTGCCCATGGCCTCAGACCAAAATGTTAAGAATTATTGTTTCCACATCTCCCTCCGATCCTGCCCTGGCTGGCCAGGTGTCTTCAGGAGGCCACGTCCCTGCCCTTTTCTTCTCAGGAACTTCTCAGTTCTCACCCTAAGTCCTACCCAGGCCTAGCTCTGCACCAGGGTCCTCCAGCACATCCCCCGCACCCTCTCCCATGAGCCCCGCCAGGTGCCAGGGGAAAACTTGACCAGATGCTTCTTCTGGGCTTGGCTGTCTGGGAAGAGCTGTCTAGATTTCCAAACTCCCCGGCCTCTGGCTTCCCACATTAATTTTCCCAAAAAATCGGAAACAAAGCTTTCCCATGGAGTCCCTTCTCCTGAATGCTCCCTTACTATCTCAGGCTCTGTCTACGTTTGCCCCTTTCTGCCTGATGAGCAACAGGAAAACATTCAGGGCCAGTTGGGGAAAAAAAATCCTTTTTTTTCCTCCAGGCCCTTGCTGCAATTTAAAAAAAAAAAAGTGAATTGTCCTGAGCAAATCCAGCTGCCACCTGGATTTCTGGTACTGGATGATGGGACTATATATGGATATTTAAATTCTGTTAAATGAAATAAATGTTTCTATTTCAGCTTCTTGGGCCCCAGTGGCAGTATTTATCATCAATGAGGTGAGAGGAGGGATTTTTTTCCTTTCCCTCTCACCGCTGCCACCCCCACTGCACCCAGGTCAAGATTCCATTACAGGAGTCAGGAGTCTGGGTGTCCAGCTTCCTCGTGTAACCCTTTTCACAGTAACGAGCCTGGTTCCGTCATGGTCTTGGTGCACTCTATTTAGCAGTCCAACAACAAACATTTCTAAAAACACCTTGCATTTGTATGAAGCTTTCCTGATGCAATGGGAGCTCTCTCCTTGGAGCCAGGGGACCTTGGTTTGAATTCTAACTGCGCCACTCGCCACCTCTGCAACCTTAGGCAAGTCAGAACATCTCTCTGCCTCAGTTTCCCTAGCCATAAAATGAGGCAGTTGGACCCCATGACCTCTAATCAGCTCTTAGCTGATTCTCATAAAAGGCTGGTAAAGCGAGTAAGGTAAGAAGCGTTATCAATCTCCATCTTACAGATGGGAAAACCATAGGGTACATATTTTGCCCAAACAAAGGTCATACAGTAGGAGAACCTTCATCTGTTAATATGTAGCCTGGTGTGTCCACCGTGTTGCCTCCAAGTCCTGGCCAGGGCATTTTTTTTTACTCAGCAGTATCTCAGGCGATGTGGAGGTGTTTGCTCCCAGGTACGTGCAGGTGGAGCGCGTGGCTTTGTTTCATGAATCATCGTCCTTCGTCAGGTCTCCTCCTGACATCTTTTCAGAATCTGGCGCTGCTTTCTGTGCTGATGACAGCTGAAGGTTAGCTGGTTACCAGCCCTTCTCCTTGGACTTGTCCTGGAAGGGAAGGAGCTGCTTGTGTTTTCTAGACTTCGAGGGCAGCCAAACCTGCCTGACTTCCACAGTGACAGTCACAGCTGTAGAAGGGGGACAAGCCTAGTCCCAGTTCACCATTTTGTTGGATCCGGACCCGGCTGGTTGCCCTGTTGCTCCTTCACTATCTGGATGAAACCAGTGTCTGACGATCCATTGATGCTGGTGTTTTTCCACAGTCACTTGTGGGCAATTACTGGGAACACATTGTCTGCAGAAGACAGATACACTTAGAGTGTTCTAGGAAACCAGTCCCTTTGGAGAGCCCTGCCCAATGTTATTAGGTATTTCCATTAACAACCCTAAGGATGGATTTTACTAATCAAATTTGGGAAGGATGTGGAACTGGAAGCCCAGCTGTGCTGAATAGGGAATTAGAATGCAGCATGACTTTGAGAAATGGGCCAAAATCAATACGATGAAATTCAATGGGAGAATGGAAATGAGCTGATAGAGGGAGGAAATCGGAAATTCACTGAGAGATGGGGAGGCTGACTGGGCAGAAGAATGACAAAGAAGTGGTGGGGGAGCTTGGCTTGTGCCCAGCCCAGGGGACCTCTGCAAGAGACAGGATTCAGGGCTTGTCAGCTTACATTTGAGGAAAATAAAAAGAATTCACAAAAGAATCTGGGCTCAGTTGAAATCCATGGGGTTCCCATCAGGATCACTGAGCACCTCTGGAAAGTGAAGAAAAAGCAGGGGACATCTTAACCTGCTGAGGTATCACAAAAGAAGAAAAAGAAAATCTTCAGTTACATAATAGCCATTTGACAGTCCTCAGAACCTCTTTGCTATTTGAATAAAAAAAATAGAAACTAAAAGCCCAAAAAGAAACTACCAAATATCTTGACTCTGCCTTCAGATATTTCCTGCAGGGTAGGAAACTCATCCTTGGGCTTTCTTTGGGAGAACGGTTTGGCCCTTATACACCTGGCGAATGCCATTCTCACACCCAGCCTCTTGGGACCACCCCCAGCCCTGTATCCAAGAGAGGAATATTAACACAACTTACTTGTTTATTCTTTCTCTTGGAACCAGAAGCCCTAAAACCCAGCAGGGGGTGCTTTGTAGGCAGAGTACAAAGATGAGGATTGGGCCAGGCCCCAAAGCAGGAATATTGCTTTTTAAGTGGTGGTTCTCAAAATGAAAACTATGGCAAACAGCTTATCCTAGAATCAATAAAGCATAGAGTTCTATGAGACCCGGAGAGGTCACCTTGCCCTCCAGACTGTATGAGACTATAGATAATGCTACAGTTTCACATGGAACAGGGATTCAATTTTGACCTGTCTGGCCTGAGTAGTCAGAAGGGTGAGCAATGGGGCGGAATTTGCCAAAGAATCAAATTTAAGCTTGATGTCTAAGGGAGAAAAAAACCACTTTCTAAGAGAGCTGTCCAAACGTGAAGACCTCCCCACCCCCTTTGGAGATCTTTGGGCAAAGGCTAGGTGAGCACTTGAGTATACTGTAGGGGGCTTGGAGGAGATCTGTTTCACAGCTCTGAAATTCAGTGATTCTCCCAGTGATTCATTCCAGTGGCTCCCTCACAGGAGAAGCACTTTTTCTATTACTGTCCCAAGCTTGGAGAAGAGTCTTGTAAATGGCAGCTCAGCTTCAGCCAACACTGCAGCCTCATCAATGACCCCTTCATCTCCCCTGTACACTTTCATTTCTCAAGGGCTGCCCCAAGAATTTGTTCATCAGCTCCTGCCCCGTCGGTCTAGATAGCCAGCTGAACCAGTAAGCAAGATTGAAATCCCACAGATGTGTGAGGCCATTTGAGCAAACACCTTTAGAGGAAGGGACAGTGACATGTAACATGTCTAGCTTTTCCCTATTCTAAATTCCATCAATAGATCACAGAATTTTAAGCCAGAGGGGCCATTCTTATATGCGTGTGTTCCTTCATAGGGCACCTTCTGGGAAACACTAGGTGTGTTCAGTGCCTTCACTAATGACAGCCCACAGAAATCACTGCCTTTGTTATTGACCGCCTGACACTTTGCTCAATGTTTGTACTACACAAGTGTTGTTCTGCTTCCCTTGAAAAATAATATCCTAGATTTGGAGCTTGAGAGGACCTCAGAGATCAACTAATCCAACCTTCCCATTTTACAGATGAGGAAACTGAAGCCCACAGACGTCAAGTGATTTGGCCAAGAACACAGGGAATAAATGTCAGAGCTAGGATTTGAACTCGGAGTTCCCTGTCTCCAAGAATAAGCAGGCTTTCTCCTGTACTTTGGGGACAGAGATGAGTTGCTTATACTTTGTAGCCTCCTCTGCCTAGATAGGGCCAGGAACACAACAGAAACTACTCCTCAGCATTTCCCTGCTTATCATCAAACATTTGAGAAATATTTGTTTGATTTGAGTGAAACTGACCTCCAAAAATCTGCCTAGATGCGCCCAATCCCTGGGGAGTCTACAGACTGGCCAAAGTGGAGATCTGGGCGTTTTGCAATAGTTATCCTGTTGAGAGAAGCTCTGTCCTAGAAACACAAAAGTCATCCAGAGGAGAGTTAACTCTAAGAGAGAGAATTCCATCATAAAAAAGGACTTTGCAAACTTTTTTGACCAAAGGCCCTGAAGTACACTTTATGATACTCAGGTCCCCTCTTGAGCAGTATAAATGAACAGCTTCCATCAAGCCAAATATTTTTCTCAATGTGGTAGATTTGGAATATATGTTATTGTTAAAGACAAAACATATTTCCGTCAAACCTGGAAACAAGTAGTCCATTTCTGATGGCCTCTGTGCAAATTCCAAAGCAAATTGCAAAGAAAGGGATTGGATTTAGAAAGCTTGCTTTCCAAAGGGCTGATTCCAAAGAAATCGGGGACAACTGTCTCCATCATTTCTTATGCTTCATTAGAAGGCCCCGGGGAGTAAAATTAGTCTGCTTCTGTTATCTTGGGAGGAACCCTAGCTAAAAAACATGCATGCAGGATATCTTCAGTGGTCTGTGGCCTTTTTCTTCTCTTGACAGGTTAGTTTTAAACACACTCTAGGGGGGAAAAACACAATTTCCCAAACTCCAGCCAGCTCTTTTAGGGAAGTGGACACTGCTGGGGACTGCCACATAAAAGGGGAATGTTGCTGGGAGGGCAGCAAAGAGTCCCTTGCGGAAACTGACACCTGATAAAAAGGTCACACTCTTATGCCAAAAGTTAGTAGCTGAGAAGATAGAGGAAGACAGTAAAAGTCTCTGTACATTGTCAAACCATTCTGGAGAAAAAGAAGGGGAGGGGGAGGGGAGAGCTCTTTTCCCTTTATCTGCCCAGGACTGGTTTCTCTAATTGCCTACGATTGTTTGAGTCCCGTTCGCAAATGAGCACTAGCCACCTACCTAGGTAACCCTTGTGGTCACAGTGATGATGTGGGGAGGCAGCCCCTGATTTGGAAAGCCGGGAGGTCGTTCGTAGCTCTTGCCAGAGAAAAGTGTGTGGATTGGGAAATTTGTGAATATTCCTTCCCTCCTTTCTCTCTCTTTTTTTTTCCCATTTCTTCCTTTCTTTCCTTCCTTCCTCTAATGCTAGGTGGCGCAGTGGAGACAGCGCAGCACCTGAATTCACAGCCCTAAATTCAAATACAACCTCTGATGCTTAGTAGTCGTGTGGTGGTCCTACTCAAGGTTCATGTAACCTCTGTCAGCCTCCGTTTCCTTATATCTAAAGGCTAACTATGGTTATTATTGCTCAAGTTTAAAGGGCAGGGTAAGCAGCAAAGGTCAAGGTTTTTATTTTTTAAGAAATCCCTGATATTTTTCTCCTCCTGCCCAGAACCACATTGAAAGTACCTGAGGGTTGGGGGTGGGGGGTGCATTTTGTTAGTTTCAGGTTGAGGCCCCGCCTCTCTCTCTCTCTCTGTCTCTCTCTCTCTCTCTCTCTCTGGGCTCCCTGGGGATCTGGGTCAAAATACATCCCATGTACACACCCCTCCCCCAGGTCTCCCGGGGAAACTTAGTGGAGAGTTTTAAACCAGAAGCGGGTAGAAGAGCGCGAGCTCCCAGCCTTACACCTGCCTTTGGGGTAGCCCCGGGCGCGGGGCTGCGGCGGCACCGGGCCGGGCTGGCAGCCCCCTTCCCGCGGCCTGGCCGGCCGGCCGGTAAGCGCACGGTCCCTTTAAGAGCCGCGGAGAAGAGGAGGAGAGGGAGGGGGTGGGGAGCGGGCCCGGAGCGCAGGAGCTGGCTCAGAGCTGCGCCGATCCGGCCCCAAGGACGCGCGCCGCTCGCTCGGGCTCGGGCTCCCCCTGCCCTCTCTGCCCCGCCCCGCCGGACGCCGTGGGGGGCCCCTGCCGCCCATCCCCCTCCCGCAGACCCCGCCGCGGGGGGCGAGGTGCCCCGGGCACGGGGAGGGGGCGTGCGCGCCGCCTCCACGGGGCCCGGGGAGCGCACGCCTCCGCCTCGCCGGCCCCGAGCATGGACAGCAGCCGCAGGCGCGCTGCGCGGAGCCCGGGGGAGCCCAGCGGCCCGGGGCAGCCCCGAGGCTGAGCCCGAAACAAAGGCAGCATCCAGCGGGGAAGGAGTCGGGAGCGCCGCCCGCACCTGGCTGGCCGTCGGGCTCGCCCCCCTCGCCGTGCCCTCCGCCGGGCTCTCCGCGCCCAGCCTTGAGAACTTGCACGGGGGCGCCTAAGAGCTCCCCTGGGGAAAGGGAAGGCGAGGACCGGAGGGGTGGTCCCGGCCCCCGCGCATCTCGCTCCAAGTTTCCGACCCCCCCGCGAGGAAGCCTCAAACCCGTACCCAGCCGGGGCATCCGGGCTCCCCGACCCCCTTCCGCAGCCCAGCCCAGCTAGCGCCGCCAGCATGAGCGGCGGCGGGGCCGGGCGGGGCGAGCCACGGAGGCCGGGCTGGGCCGGGACCCTCCTGGGCACCGGGGAGCTGCTGCTGCTGCTGTTCGTGTGGCTGGGCCCCCTGACCTGCAGCGGGGTAGCCGGGGACAGCGAAGTCAACGCCGAGGTCAGTAAGCACGCTACCCCTTGGGGGAGTCGTCCCTCCAACCTCGCTGTCCGTTTCCTCCTTCCTTCGCTTTGATTGTCCTCTTAACTAAACTTTGCATCCTGCCCCCCCCCCCCCATTCTTTCCTTGCTTAATAAATGTTTGGATTGGGTTGATTCTCCTGGCCTTGGAGGAGGGGGGAGTGGCCCCCTCCCTCCCTAGAGGTAGAAGCTTTCTCTGGGTGGTGGCTGGACTCCTGCGGCTGTGCCCGCTTAGCCTAGCCCAGCCCCGCCAGCAGGGTCTGTGCAAGGGAATGGGCTAAGGGAAATCTTCTCATACCTTCCCCTCCATTATCTGGACTCCTTCCCTCGGCTATTAACCCTTCAGAGCTGGGCATCTAGCTAAACCCCTCTGCCCCTGGTCCTTGTAGCCACCAGCCAGTCAGATGCTGCGTGGCCTGGTGAAAGGGGGAGTGAACTGTCCAGGACACCGGAGTCTCTGTCCTGAGCTCTAGACGTCGAGGTGGAGAGGGCCAGGCTCAGTCCCAGTGACTTAGGAGCAAACAAGGGGGGCTACCGGTCTCAGGCAAGAACGACAGTGGTGGGCCTCGGAGCTAGGGCTGGGCCAACCCATGAACAAGGGTGTCTTGCTCAGCGTCTGGTGTAGAGAGTCTGCAGAGGCCCTCTATCCATAGCACAGTGCTAGGCACTCGGAGTACTTAGGAAAGAGCCAAGGTGATGGCCAACCACCTTATTAAGTAATCGGATCAAAGGTGGGAAGAGAGGGAGAGAGTAGGTAACATCCCAAGGAGAGCCCTAAATGAAGCAGGGGCTAGAGGAACCCAGGGCCCCTGAAAAGTGGGAGCTTCAGGCTCCTTGAGTAACATCAGTATCCAAGGACTTCCTTCAGGTTTCTGGGCACAGAGTGACGTACTGAAGCTCCCAAACCCCTGCCTTTAAGGATAAGCTTAGGAGCAGATAACCCTTCTGCACAGGACCTCTACCAGTGTGAGCACTGCCTATTCAAAGTAGGCACACTTCCTCCCTTAGAAGGGCTCATCCCACAGGGCTGGGAAAGGGTCCCATTCATTGGCCAAAAGAAATGTGGGCAAAACTCAGCATAAAACTGCAAAGCAATTTTTTAAAAATGTGAGCTATTGTGCAGTTCAGATAATTGAATAGAAGACTGCCTAATAAAGGATCAGTGATGCTGTTCCTGCCTTCAAGGAGCTGACAGTCTAATCAGGGGAGGAGGGTACATAAAGTAATTAAAAGACAAGTTTTAATGAGAAATGCCTAAGGGAAGTCAAAGAGAGAAGAAACAGGGAAGATCCGTAGTAAGTAGGATCCCTGCTAACCAGGGGCACCTGAGCTGGGCCTTGAAGGAAGAGAAGGGTTTCAACAAGCAAAGAAGTGGAGGGAAGGCGAGTGAGATGCAAAAGCTTGGAGGTGGGAGAGGGTGAAACCAAATGACCCAGTTTGGCCAAACACCCAGAGTGCCATAGGAGGAACACTGAAATGAGTATGACCAGATGTGCTCATTTTTATCTTCCCACATGCTCCGTTCTAGTCACACTGACCAGCTTATCTGCTGTTTCTGCTACCTGGGGATTTCATTCAGACTTTCCCCTGTGTTTGGAATTCACTTTTTTTTTTTAAACCATTTTCTGTTACCTTCAAGGCTCAGCCCATGTACCAGTCCCTACCGGCCTTGATTTTCCCCTCTCATTTGTGCTCTCTCTTGCCTCAAGCTGCAGAGTTAAGGCCTCGTTTTCATGGTGTATCTCTTCCTGCTCTGCTCCCCTGCCCCCCAAACATAAACTCTTTAAAGACAGGGACTGTCTTTTATTTGGTTGTATCCCCCATTCCTAGCCTAGTTCCTTGCCTGTGGTAGACACATAAATGTTTGGATTAGATTGGAGGCCCCTGAGTGTCAGGCATTTTAATCAAGTAGGCAAAGCAGGGTATTAAGCAGGGAAAAGACAAGATCATACCTGTGCTTTAGACTGCTTTGGCAGCAGACATGCAGATAGGTGTGTATTCTCTGCATGTACCCGTGAGAGCCTGGGATGAGCCATGGCTGGGGCGAGGTACGAGGGGCTTCCAGGAAGAAACAGGCCTTCGTCTTTGGGCCCTGGCCATGGGAAGCCCGGCCAGAACTCCATGTAGGGCTCCAGTTAGGAGCAGGGAGGCCGGACCCAACGCCTGTTACTCCCCAAGGCCCTGCCCGAAATCCTCCTGTCACTTAGGGCCTGATCTCTGACCATTTATATAACCGTCTCTCCTGCCCTCCGAAGCCTCATGCTTTCATTCTGTCTGAAATAAGAACAGAGTTCTCGGTGGAAAACTCCAAAGCTCCTGTGTAGATCATCACCACCTCCTGATCACTTTAGCAAGCCTGGAGCAGGCAAAGGAGAATCCTTCAAGATTCAGAAAGAATGAGAGACAAAAAAGGGAGGAATCTGGAAGGTATTCAGTGACTGTCCGGCTTCTTAGAAGGGCTCTGGGGTTTCTTTCAATCTTTCTTGTTGCTGATGGAGAAACTGAAGA